ACGCCATATTTTACAAAATTTTTCGGTGGCCTCCCCCCCAGGCCGATTTTTTTTTTCGATGGCCCTCCCCCCGGCTCAAAATTTTTTTCCATGGCCCTCCCCCCAGGCCAAAATATTTTTCAATGGCCCTCCCCCCCAGTGCACCAGCCCTCCCCCCCCCCCGGTAAATATCGTACAGTCCCTAACAAGTACTACTAGTAAAACTTGTCAATGTTCTTTGCATATAGTTACATGTATTACTATTAAAGCACTAGAAGTAGTGTTTATATTATCAGGCAGCAACTTAAATTAATCTGCCTGTATTTCATCATTTCTGTCTTCCTCATTCAGGCTATACCAAACCTGGATTTTTCGTTGTCAAATGGTAGGAGGATATCATTAGCCTATGTGGTAAGTTTTGCTTACTTTCATATGGTTACATTTTCATAGAGAAAACTGAAGAGCTCAAATTATCTTTTAGCAGGTTGCGCATGTGTTAGTAACAAGTGACCGGGACATATAAACAAAGGGAAAGAAAAGCAAAAATATGAGAGAGAATATACATGTAAATAACTGATTTTGTGTGTGTAAAGGACCTGATTTTTAACAATATATAAAGGTAAAATGTGTTATTTTGTCTGTTATGATTTGGGACAGTGTTATGAGCCCACTGCAAACAGGTAGAAAAAATAGATCCACTTTTTTTTTAAATTTAATACCTAAGCACTACCTATATTTTTTATGCAAGAGTTGTGTTTTTCCCAGGATGCTTCAGTAGGAGTTCCGACAGTTGCCCAGGGCAACGCGTTCTCTCGGACGTTGAAGGTGTTCCCCGCAGAATGTCGTGAGCGAGGGACGACATACCGTGCTGGTTTACAGGCCCGCATCGCCTGGAGCGTGGACGGGGTCAACCAGGGGTCAGTGGAGAGCATGCTGGGAGAAATCCCCCTCATGGTCAAGGTCAGGAGGTCAAATTGTGAAAATTGCTTTTGGAGGTCAGGAGGTCAAATTGTGAAAATTGCTTTTGGAGGTCAGGAGGTCAAATTGTGAAGGTCAGGAGGTCAAATTGTGAAAATTACTTTTCAAGGTCAGGAGGTCAAATTGTGAAAATTACTTTTCAAGGTCAGGAGGTCAAATTTTGAAAAATTACTTTTCAATGTCAGGAGGTCAAATTGTGAAAAATTACTTTTCAAGGTCAGGAGGTCAATTAAATTGTGAAAATTACTTTTCAAGGTCAGGAGGTTAAATTGTGAATGACTTCATTACTTCTATGTTTTATCTGTTTGTATGGACAGGGTAAGTTGATGTGGCAGTATGTAGATGGGGGTAAGATTGACAAGCAGAATGACAGGTTAAAGTCTTTGAATCTGGCCAGGAGAAATTTGAGGATCGCAAACTTAAATATGGGAAGTCTGAAATCTCTGATGTCTGGTCTTCACTTAGATTAAACAAAACATATGTTGGATGTCTTAAAGATTTCTTTAAATATATGATGAACTTTCACATCTACATTAACCTTGGTTGACTTTTAATCCAAGTTACCACAAGCAATTCATGCTCTTCAACAAGACAACAAGAAATAAACTTCAAAATTCATCTGTCTTTGGTGTTTTACCTTGCCAGTTCTGACTTTAACTCCATTACTTTTTGTACTTCCAGTCTGCCCACTGTAATTTATCTAAACTAACTCCTGCAGAGCTCATCAAAAGACATGAGGAAGCTGAGGTAAGATTCACAATACATGTATATCATTCCTGGATCTTGTATTATAGAACATTGTCTTTTGTGTAAGCTATGTGGTCAATAGCTCCATCGAGAAGAGTACACATGCTCGCTTTATAACCAGGAGGTTGTGAGTTAAAGCTCCGGCCAGATCATTCCAAAGACTTTAAAAATAGTCAAGTACATATTGCTTTCTCTGCTTAGCACTCAACGTCTATGAGAAAGAGTGTGGAAAGGTCAAACACACAACACTACCATCGGGCTAGTCCCCTTGCACAACTGTGTGGCCCAAAGGCTACAGAAATGGAAATGGGCACCACCCCTATGCTCAGCATGGAGTAGAATGAAACTTTTTAGGTGGTCAATTTATTTGCCCTGGTTCATGTATTTAACTGTTCCATTTCTACAAATGTCCAATGATGAAGACACTTTAACATATTTCAATTTTTATTAATACTAATAAAAAGGTATAAAAAGAGGTAACAAACTAAACTGATTTTTAAAATTTATCTCTTCTGCAGGAAATGGGAGGGTACTTTATCAACAATGGCATTGAGAAGGTTGTGAGAATGCTGGTCATGCCAAGGAGGAATTATGTAAGCTTCTTAGACTGTTCTTCACCTTTCTTTTCAAAATTCTTTTCATTCACAAATGGATCTGCTGAATTTTTTCTACTGTACTAACTGTCAAGTGTCAGTATGTTGTTACTGTTTTCCTGTATGCATCAAGTTTACATCAGAGGCCTACAATTTACAAAGTTCCAAAGGACTAAAGAATAAAACTGCTGGAAAGAAGGGCTTTTGACATGTCATCTGTCTGATAGAATTCATGGTTTTAATAGCAGTAGTAACAATTATTTGCAATTGTGAGAAGTTCAAGATGATATAATTGTTACTTTACAACATTTTAGAGTGGCATTATTTTCTGTATTGTCCTCGTATGTGATTGTCCCTGTTTGTGGTTGTAGCCGATGGCCATTGTACGTCCTAGCTGGAAGGGACGAGGCAAACTGTACACAGAGTACGGAGTGTCCATGAGATGTGTTACCAAGGACCAGACAGCTGCAGTAAGTAACCAAGTACTGGAACTGTAAAGGGCTAAACTAAAGGCTCTTTGTATGTTTGTTTCGCATAACCGGTAAACTGCCTTTAGGCATAACATACCAGTTTTGTACATGTAAGTACAAGCTGCATAAGACCAGACTGTAAGGTTTGAACCACTCACACTGGGAAGGTCCCCTACTCTTTTCGATACCGGTAAGTGCAGTGGGTTCTTCAACGTGCGTGGGGTGTGGCTCTTGCAAACACGGGACTTCCATTTAACATCCTATCCGAGGGGCGTCCCTAACCAAAGCTAGGTACTCATTTCCTCATGAGTGATGTGAGGAAAGTCGTGTAAAGTGCCTTTCCCAAGGGTACAAGATTGGTGACATGGTAGGATTCAAACCCGCGACCTTTTGGTCCTGCAAAAGAACACTCTTGTGATAGGTTTCAGAAAAATATGAAAAGACTTTTGTGGAAAGTTACCTCAACAAATATGTAGTTAATTTGTAAATCTCTCTAGCTGTGAAAGTATTGAATGAACAGGGATTGTGCTTAAAGGTAAATTTTTGTAGTGCATGTACATAACCTGTCTATGTGAGGACATATTTTCTCTGTAACAAAGTTTTTTTTCTCCTGACAGACTATAGTTCTCCACTACCTGACCAACGGCACGGTGACCCTGTGTTTTGTCTACAAGAAGGAGCAGTTCTTTGTTCCGATTGTCATTATCCTGAAGGTTTGTACACTGAAAACACTCAAGCATTCACTGACAAAGACAGAAATATTTAAGTCCTTCCTTACACGGAGTTGAAAAATGTATAAAGGGTAGATAGTTAGCCTCTGCCAGGCTTCAGAAGCAGCTGAAAAGAGTGGAAATTTGCCAAATATACAAATAACATGCTGGGGGAGTTGGTCTGCTGAAGGAGTACATTTGCTGCTTCAGAATGTACTCCTTAGGTTAGCATAATGTAATTTCATCTTTACATGAATGCTATAAGTTCCTTGATACTATGTTCATGTCCCATTTCAGGCCCTGGTGGAAGCCTCAGACAAACACATCTATAGTGAGCTCATTAAGGGGAAAGAAGACAACTCTTTCTTTAAAGGGTAAGATGTTTTTTTTATATCTTTTTTGTTTCCTGGTACTGGCAAGAAGAAAACAATACATGTACTATGTATATCTGTCAATAGTTTCATCAGGCTGGTAATTCAATGGATACGGTAACAATCACCACCTGCTTCCTTCTGAAGGACAGTAGTACTGATTGGTTGTACTTCCCATCAGCATTGCTAGATGGAGCTGTAGTGAAGAGAATACAGTCCCAAACATGACTAAGCCTGTATCCCCCCTTCATTCCTTCATTGTGCTTACACTAGTGCAGTGTTCATAAAAGATTACACCTGTAAGAGTATAAGAAGGTACTTTATCTAACAGTTTTCACATCCAATGTTTTGGTGACCATCATTTACCTCCTACAAAAATCAGACAGTCTCCTACCAACCTGATGAAATTATTCATGGAATACCTGTCATTAGATAGCTTTTTAAACAATGTTTGAAATTAGATGTTCAAAGGTTAGGTGTAACAAGACATTCGGTATAATGTAGCCAGCTGCCGCTGTGCCGCATGCCTGCGAAGCTGGTGTGTTACGCCAAAGGGCAGTTATACCAGCTATACAGATACAGATACAGATGCCAGAACAGGTTTTATATAAGACCTTCCTTTTTGCCCAGATGTGTAGCGAGTATGCTGAGACAAGCCCAGAATGAAGGTCTGATGACCCAGGCTGGGATCCTGAAGTATATCGGAGAGAGATTCAGAGTAAAGCTACCTGTACCAGACTGGTACACAGATGAGGAGGTGGGGCAGTTTCTACTCAGGTCAGTTCTCAGTTTCGTTATTATTTATTACACATAGTTTGTTTTGTAATTACAGGACATATAATAAAGGGTTAATGCACTGCCCCGAGTTGTATATGGTGTCATAACTGCATGAGCAGCTGCCATAACCACCGAATAAACCACCGTGTGAGCGAAGCGAACGAGGTGGTTTATGAGGTGGTTATGGCAGCTGCCCATGCAGTTATGACACCATATACAACGAGGAAAAGGCAGTGCATTAAAATTATTATCATATAGCCTATCCAAACTGTCAATCAACACAATTCCTGTTTGAAATACAACAGCTTTAATATATATACATACATAAAAATACATTCAAATATATTATACGCTTTAAAACAAATATGGATAATTTCATTTAATGCAAATTGTAGTTTAAATGAAGCTAAACAAAAAAGTTTATTGGACAGAAAAATGCTACAAAGGTTTACAGAAAGAGTCGCATGCCCCTATACCCTATAACATAATGGTATCAGCCATAACACGACATGTGCTGTTATTCCGCCATAACACCACATGTGCTGTTATCGGGAAATAACAGCACGGGTATCCGGGCCTCTGATTGGTCCACGCCGTCCGGCTATATGATAATGAAAATTAAACTGTTCTTCAACTCAAAAAGAAATTAGCTCACTGGAATTTTCAACGAAATATCTTAGTATTCATTAGCTATCTGACCCAAGTGCTGTAGACAAGTGGTTTTTCCACATATAGCTGATGAAAACCAAGAGATTCAGTTAAAAAAGTTTATTATGTATGAGAAATGGCTGAATGGAAGATTTTACATCTATGCACTTTGTGATTACAGGAATAAAGGTGTTTGAATTTTAGGAATGATGTCATTTAGGGTACAAGACAAATTGTGTGTTATGTTTTTTGTTGTTTTCCTCTGCAGACAATGTGTATGCATCCACTTAGATTCAGACTTGGACAAGTTCAACACCCTTGTGTAAGTACATGTACATTTAGCTTATTTCCTGCATTGCAAAATTCCATCAAGTTCAATTTTTGCTTTTGGTATAAATTTAATAGTACATAGCTGACTAATATTAACAGAAATGTTGTCTTTGTCATGAAATTGTGTGAACTGCAGTGTCAGGATTTTTGTTTGTTTTTCTGTTTGTTTGTTTGTTTGTTTGTTTGTTTGTTTATTTGTTTTTCCTGTCAAAAGTGGAAAATCCAGATTTACCTCTGACCCTACCAGGACCTTACCACAGCCTACCGTAACCAAGGAGGTTTAAAAGACTTTAAACCTCCTTTCTGTAACTTGTAGAGTGTTTGCTTGTCTTGTACAATTTCTCATGACCTACATGTATGACCTGTAACCCTATGACCTGTGACCCCAGGTTGATGACCCAGAAGCTGTTTGCCCTTGCCAAGGGTGAATGTTCGATAGAGAACCAAGATTCTCCCATGATGCAGGAAATGTTACTAGCTGGTCATCTCTACCTCACCATTCTCAAGGTACATTTGTACATGGAGTATGAATTATATTTCCCACAGGTACAATATACAATGTATACAGCTCTTTTTTCAACAAGTTTCAATGGTACGCTATGGCCTTATAACCTGTCAATTAGTCTAGCCCATTGACACATGAGTGAATCTGTATGTTCTGTTCGTACCTACGTTGTATTTTCATGTATTATGTAAGGTCAGCACAATTCAGCGGTCCATAATTCTTCTTTTATGTACTGCTGCTATGCTGACCACTGTTTTGAATAAAGAATAAAGAACAACACAAGCCAAGACTCAAACTTCTGACCTTCTAGTCCAGTGGCAGAATCATTTACCTCTAGGCCATGTACACTTTTACTAGTGTTAGGCATATTGGAGGTATATTGTACGGTACTAAGAGGTGTATGGTGAATTACATGTAATGTTGTGCTTACTAACTTAGGACAAGTTGGAGCTGTGGCTGACTCAGTTGAGGTACGGAATCGACAAGCGGTCACAAGACAAGGGGCCGTCCTACAAACTAGACACAGGTGAGTGACAACAATAAAGTTCTGAGATAAAGAGAATATAGGGGCTCTTTAGAACACTTCAAACCTTCCACAAATGTTACTTCAATGTATGTACAAAATGTAACAAAGGTGATGTTTAGCTATCAGTTCTGTACTTTTAAGAGAGACCCACCTTGAACATGTTATAGGAATCACAATCTTCAACTTCTACTTTTAATTTTGCGTGTCACAATTTTTCAGATTGCACGTAAAATGTTTGCCGACATGCAATTTTGTATCGGTCCAGACTTGTGCAGACGGTGCAGAAACTATTTACGAATTGCGGAACAAAATTTTGACATTCTGCAGTATTTCTACCATGTACCAATGAAGAGCATTATTTCTCACACCTCTCCATTAATATACCTTAAATAAAACTACAGCAACTTAAGTTTTGGCCACACAGTCACTTAGCAAGCCTAGATAGAATAGAAACTAAGACCAAATACTAGAAAGGCCAACATTTGCTTCGGAGCAAATGTAATATTTCACTCCATCTCCCTCCCCATACAAAAATAGAAGATTCTGAATAAATCATACTGCAATCATACAAGGACAAGCTTTTTGAATCTCGACAGATATTTACAAAAATGGCACTTGGCCATTATCTCCCTTTTTTTTACAAAGATACAACGACAAGCACTTTAAATCTCGACAGCTTTACTTTACACTTATCTCAATTTCAAAGTTACATATTGCAGGTATCTAAATACTACTAATGACGAAATTGCAACTACTACTAACGGTAGCAAAATTTTCACGGTCTGAGAAACATGGACATGTTCACGGAACTATATATTCACGGTGGTGACAGTTGCAGGAAAAAGAAAGTCCAGGAATTATTTCCTAACTGTAAAGATAAGTTCACGGTACAGAGGTGACAGTGAAAACCGTGAACATTGACCTCCTGCTTGCGTTACGTTGCGGTACAGTGAAAAAAAATCGGGAATTACAGTAATCAATTTACAGAGTATGTTTGCTTAGTTTCCAGATGTTTTGTATGAATGTCGTAAACTTAGTTTTAAATTAACGAAAACCGATGCGCGCACAGATGCCATCCATACAATCAAATCAACATGGCCTTATTAACAATCACATAAACTATGAAGCCATACATTGAATAAGCTATACATATAATATGATTATCATAACCTTTATTTTTAAAATCATGCCAGTGAGCTAATTGCATGTACAGAGTGAAAGAAAGTAAAGTAAAGTAAAGCAGTAGAATTTCTGTACTAAGCTATGATAGTACTCCATATGATTCGTCCTCATCGTCATCATTCAATGTGGTCTATCTCTTGCTACTAGTGACTGGTAATACCTCTGTAGATTCTTCACACTGGCAGAGTACCGTACTCATTCTCTCTTGTCAGCTCCATACTTTTGTGACAACATCAAAGTGATTTTGGTTTGTATGTTGGAAAAATACAAAAGACTAACATTCTAAGTTATTGACATTCTTGAGTAAGACAATCAGTTTTTGAATGTTAAAAGCAAAACAACGAAAATAAAAAAAAATGTTGAAATTGTTAAAATGCAGAATTGTTAAAATCGTTAAAACTGATAAAATTGTTAAAACTGATAAAATTGTTAAAAATGTTAAAATTGCTAAAAATGTTAATATCCGATGCACTGGGGTTCGAACTCACAATTTCTGGGATTGCCGTCTGGCGCGTTACCAACCGAGCTAACTCGTTGCGATACACATCACTCACTGCATTGTATGTCATATAAAGTAAACAGCATGGCGGTATCGATCGCCTCAAGCCACCAAGACTTTCAACTATTAACTACGGGGTTTCCTTCTTTATCAGGTTTGCTTTTGAACCACCTTGATGTTACTTAACTATCAACCCGGCTAGCAGAAGCCGCCGGCTCCTTTGATATTACAGCCGCTCCCTGTCCAATCTTGTTTACACGCCGGGCGCAGGTCATTGACCTCCAACTTGCGTTGTTCCAACAGAGAAGAGCAAAATGTCTGGCTCCCGCAGAACGTACCGCACTCTCCCGCTGGACGTACCGCACTCTCCCGCAGAACGTATCGCACTCTCCCGGAGGACGTCTCTCACTCTCCCGAGGGAAGTCCCGCACAGCGTCCTGCACTCTCCCGCAGAACGTCCCTCGAAAATTGATGCGTATTTCGTGGCCTGTGCTGTACCTACCAAAACACTTGAGTTCATACTGTCAAAATGGAATGGCTTTGAACAGGTGTTAATTGAGTTAATCCAATCAAATCCAACAGCCAATCAGCAAGAAGAAAAGATTAGGCTGCGTCAGGTTCATGCTTGCATGCCCATATTTGGGCCCGCCCCCGAATTCCTTTCTTATTACGTCACGCGCGTACGCCCCACAGTACTTTCCTATGGGAACAGCTAAAAACGCAAATAAAACGATTGTAAAAGCTTGTATCAAAAAAAATAAAAAAACGCCTAGGGGTATTTACCCACTCTACCTTTATACGAAATTCCAGGTCGTTTGGCCCAAAAATGAAGGAATTGAATCAATTTAAAGAAATGGCAGGAGGAGAAGAAGAAGGAGGAGGAGAATCATCAGTAAAAACAGTATTTCCCTCCATACTTAAGTATGGAGTGAAATAATTACAAATGTTTTGTTGTTGCAGTTGAGATGATGAGTGCGATGAGACTGTGTAGTGACGTGACCAGAGGAATGGAACACTTCATGGCTACAGGATCCGTGGTGTCCAAGTCTAACCTGGGACTGATGCAGGTAAGACTGCACACCTAGTGACATTTCATGGTACTGCACACCTAGTGACATTTCATGGTACTGCAGGAGAAGTTCCAGTTTTGATATCTCATGTTCTAGACCTTCTATGGTCATGATTTATTAGTAGCAGGTTGCAGTCATACTCAGAAGGATGTGGTATTTGTGTGAGCCTCCCAGTGGAATTTCATGGAACTGCAGGCATTTTGCTAGAAGTCACCTAGTGACATTTCATGGTACTGCAGCAGAACTTCCAGTTTTGATATCTCATGTTCTAGACCTTCTATGGTCATGATTCATCAGTAGCAAATTGCAGTCACACTCAGGAAGATGTGGTATTTGAGTGGGCCTCCTAGTGGAATTTCGTGGAACTGCAGTCTTGTTTTTTGTCTGCTGAAATATGTCTGAAATCTTACTTTTGTTGTTTTGTTTCCTCAGACGGCAGGCCTGACTGTCGTGGCAGACAAGTTGAACTTCATGCGGTACCTGTCCCACTTCCGCTGCGTGCACCGTGGAGCGTTCTTCGCCGAGATGAGAACCACGTCCGTCAGGAAACTACTGCCAGAAGCATGGGGTGAGACTGTCGGGTACTCACTAACATAGAGTAGTGCATGGGTAGTGTTGTACAGCTGTAAAGGTCAATCAGTACCAAGGACAGCACTAAGATTGTGAACTGTAACAGTCGGGACAAGCATGGTCAGTGTGAAGGTCAATCAGTACCTAGGACAGCACCATTAGTGAACAGTAACAACAGAGACAAGTATTGTAAGTGTAAAGGTCAATCAGCACCAAGGACAGCACCATAAATGAACAGTAACAATAACGACAAGTGTTGTTTGAAGGTTAATCAGCACCAAGGACAGTACCATCAGTGAACAGTAACAATAGCGACAAGTGTTGTTAGTGTAAAGGTCAATCAGCACCAAGGACAGCACCATCAGTGAACAGTAACAACAGAGACAAGTGTTGTAAGTGTAAAGGTCAATCAGCACCAAGGACAGCACCATCAGTGAACAGTAACAACAGATACAAGTGTTGTAAGTGTAAAGGTCAATCAGCACCAAGGACAGCACCATCAGTGAACAGTAACCACAGAGACAAGTGTTGTAAGTGTAAAGGCCAATCAGCACCAATGACAGCACCACTGGTGAATAGTAACAGCAGCGACAAGTGTTGTTTGAAGGTCAGTGCCAAGGACAGCACCATCAGTGAACAGTATCAACAGAGACAAGTACTGTAAATGTAAAGGTCAATTAGCACCAAGGACAGTATAGAAAGTGTGAACGGAAACAGCAAGAGTGAATATTGTACATGTAAATGTCACACTATATCAAATCATTTAGTAATGTTAGATGCAAGAACGACTTGTCCATGAAATAGACACGTTCATTTTTACCCTTGTCAGTCATATCCAAAAATGCTGTATTAAAAGAAAGATAAGCTAATACACTTGTCTTCTACATGATTATAATGGCCTCAGAAAACAGTTTTTAAACATTATGGTTTTTCTTTTTGCTGTCTCATTACCCAGGGTTCCTGTGTCCTGTGCACACCCCTGACGGAGCTCCATGTGGGCTGCTCAATCACATGACTGCCAGTTGTGAGGTCAGAGGTCACCTTTTTTTTTTCAATCTAGACTTGTTTACTTGTATTTGTTTTGTACATTAGTTATCATTGTTGTGAAGCTACTTAAAAAATGTCTGTGTACATTTCTTAATTGAATGATGGAAAAGACCTGGATTCAGAGTAGGAATATTTTTTAGCCTCTGGAAGATTTATTTATTTATTTATCAAGATTTTCAGAGAAGAAACTGAGAGGAGTTCAGTAACAGGATGGAATCCTTTAACAAAGCTGACTCCTCCAAACAAATAAGAAATAATAAAAACATGAATATACAAAATATAAGAATAACAATAATAATAATGATAATAATAATAATGATAATGACGATAGTGGCTGAGAAATATAATGGATGAGTAAGTTCGTTAACAGTTAGACCAGGTACTAATATTGTAAACGTCGAAATGGGTGGACAGTAAATGTAGGTAGTGTTTGGATACGGCTTGTTTAAAACGTTTGACTGATGAATTTGGAGTTAACCTGAGGCGTCTGATTTCTGTTGGAAGGGCATTCCATATGTGAACAATTCGTAAGAAAAAAGAGTGCTTAAAAGTCGTAGTATGGCATTTTCTTGGAGTCAATTTGGCCAGATTATGTGCTCTCAAGTAGGGATGTGGAAAGATTAGGAAATTGTCAATATCTATGTCGTACAAACCTGAGAAACATTTGAAAATTAAAACTAAATCTAATATTTCGCGTCTGTATAAGTTAAAAGTGAGCAAGTAGACAGATGTATAATTTGTATGATTACATTTTAACAGAAACTTGTATTTGCCTTTTTTTCAAGAACTATAGCTAGCCTCATAGGTAAACTACAAACTACCAAACCAATCCAACACATTGTGAATACCCTAGATATCAGGCTAGCTTATAAAACTCTACTACTGGATAAATTACAGAGATTACTTCTGGAAGTCCAGAAGTAATATCTTCTCTAATTTATCCAGTAGTGAAGTTTGAAAATTGTCTATGACTCGTTTACTTGAATGTGTAACCTTCACTAATGTACAACACTAACATCTTTTTCATCATTTCCACACATTTTCAGGCCGTTACGTTGCAGCCTTCCACAGTTCACATTCCCAAGCTCCTTTGCTCCCTGGGTATGGCTCCCTTGGACAGCCCTCCACCGGCTCCCCCTAGTGAGTGTTATACAGTACTGCAGGATGGCAAAGTGGTGGGAAGGGTGGCAGCTAACATGGCACCTGACATGGCCAAGAAACTCAGGATGCTGAAGGTCACTAGAGAGGGGAAGGTCAGTAAATGTAGAATACATGAGTGCGCTGAAATGAAACATATCAGAGACTTATGCAATATGATTAAAATTTCTTGGCATGAAAGTTCATCTGAGTTGAAAATTAAACTACTCCAACTCAAAATGAACTTTGACCCAGTGCTGGATATATTTGACTTATCATAACTCCTTTCCCTCACAGTTTGTCATCTTGGATTTTGCAAAAAAATTATAATTATGTTTGATTGTCAATGCTACAAATACTGCATCATTTTGTCGATCTCCTATCTGTAAGCATGTTGGCAGAACGTACTGCACCTGAGCAAAACCCGTAATGTATTGTGCATACCACTTTGGCAGAATGTCTCATGTAAGGTCGTACTGGTGTATATAAGGTTAACATCCTGTCTGTAGTTTCAAAATGTTATGTTGGAAAAGATATCGTCTGCAACAGACAAAATTCTTATGCAATGTTGACTAAAGATCCAAAGAAAATTGTGAAAAATCAGGGTTTCGCTTAGGCGCAGTGCATTCTGCCAATGTGATCTATCTGTATATGTATAGCCCTTTGGCATAAGACAACAGCAAAATTATTTGGCTCCAGTTGAACACATTACCAGTATGTTGGATTTCCACCCCAGATCCCAGTGATGACAGAGATTGTGCTGGTGCCGAAGACAGGCAAGGCCAGCCAGTTCCCCGGCCTGTTCCTGTTCACCACGCCTGCACGCATGATGAGGCCTGTCAGAAACCTGTTCACAGGCACGGTCGAGATGATTGGATCATTTGAACAGGTCAGTTGAAAACAAAATTTTATTCACATTGCATTGGTAGCCAACTTGGCTGAATTACACAAAGTGTTATAGATTAAAAACTTTGAGAACACACGTTAAGTACAGAGCGACATAGACCATTGTACTTGGTTGTTCACAAATATTATGAACTTCAGGAATACACATTAAAAAGAATGGCATTGACGATTTGAGCAAGAAAAGTTACAGATATTGATGGGTCCGTAAAAAACGGAGGCGAACTATTTACAGATCTTGATTACTGAGGCTTATTGCCTGAAAGAGGAAGGATATTCTCAGTCTTTCAGTTCTAAATTTTGGTCTGGAGATGTTAGGGTTATTTCTTTTTTTTGAATTATTTCCTGTTAATGCGACCTGTTTTTTACACCCAATCTTTACATCTAACTGCAGTTGTTAAAAGCTATCTGGTGATGATGCCTCAACTATTCCACTCTATGATAGTTCTAGGAAAATAATGAGTTCTATTGAAATATACAAAAGACAAAACCAGTACCGGTACATTCAGTTAAAAGCATTTTGTCTTTAAAGGGGGAGTACAAAACATTTTTCCAGAAGAATAAGGGCATAAGAAACCAACACAGGCAGAAAAGAACAGTTGATACACTTGATTTGGGTGTCACACCGGTGTTTCTGCCCTGTCCTTCAGGTCTATATGAACATCTGTGTGAGACCAGAGGAGGCCCACCCCGGTGTGACGACTCACCAGGAGCTGAGGGAGACCTCCATCCTGAGTGTTGCCGCCAGTTTCACCCCCTTCTCCGACTTCAACCAGAGCCCACGGAACATGTACCAATGTCAGGTCTGTTGACTTGTATAGCTGTTATACTGTGTGTCAGGAAGTGTGTTTTAAAAACCAACATATTGAAAGTGTTGGTCAAAGTACATATCAGCATATGTTGGTGGTTATTGTACAAGGAACGTGACAAAAATGCAAGTCTCATTCTTGAGAAAGACAAATTAGGTCAAAACCAGCTGAATTCCATCTCAGCACTGTCATTGTCCCAAAGCTCTGAATGATGCAAGTCTTGCTGTATTGTTGTCTTCAGTTGCAGAAGTGCAATGTATTTTTTTGGGTGGCTGACCTGTTGATTTGTGCATCTGTTCAGGCAGAGTAGGTTGGCAGCATGTGGGGAGACAGATTGACAGGTAGAATGACAGGAGGTCAAAGATCTCCAGGAGCCTGTAGAAATTAGAGTTTGACATAGAGAAATTTAGGAAGCTAAGGATTGTCACAAGTCTGAAATCTCCAATTTTGGTTGACTCCTGAAACCATTTTCCTGTCCTCTAGATGGGTAAACAGACCATGGGGACCCCCCTCCATGCGTTTGGACACCGGACGGACAACAAGCTATACCGGATCCAGAACCCCCAGTCCCCCACGGTCCGACCGTACGCCTACGATCACTACCACATGGACGACTACCCACTGGGAACAAACGCCGTCGTCGCTGTCATTTCTTATACTGTGAGTAGCAGGATGTTGGGATTTTCTTCACGCAACCAGTACTTCTTTCACCTGACTTACATTTTACGTTTTTGAACTTCCCTCAGAGCTTCTGACTAGAGTACTGCTTTTTGCTGCTGCATGTGTTCTTGCCACAAAAACACCACCTACGTGTACATTGGCTACATATAGCAGCAAAAAGCAGAACTCCAGTCAGAAGCTCTGAGGAAGGTGTTTGATAGACACCGAAACACAAGCAAGGTGAGAGAATTGCTGGCTGTACCCAAGAAAATCTCAATCTCCTACATTCTACCAATGAGATTTTCTGACTGTTAATAGCAGTTGCTTTTGGGTAAGAACGTATTGTTTTGGGCGGCTGAGCTGTGAGTTTGTGTATCTGTTTGTCTGAACAGAGTGGCTTGACAGCATAGTGGGGGTTGGAGAAGATTGATTCTTGTTCAATGGTATTCCATTACATAAGAGCTTCCAAGGTAAATTTCAAACTCCAACAATAAACTTGACTTTGGACACATTTTTTAGGGATATGACATGGAGGATGCCATGATTCTTAACAAGTCGTCATTGGAGAGAGGATTTGGCCATGGCACCATCTACAAAACAGAGGTACGTCAATGTATTTGTACTCAATACAATCTACTCATTTCACAACTAAAAGGAGATCAGAAACATCTTTGAATAACGCAGGGAAATCGTTTATCAGAGTCATAATGGTGTGTAGAGCTCAATCATAGAATAAGCATCAGTTTTATCAAAACCATACCCTGTTGACTTACCACAAAGTAGCAGACTGTTGATTGGGATGTTGCTTTGTGAGAACTAGACTATGAAAAGCTTTTAACAATGCTGGTGAAACGAAACTTATTGTGCCTTTTGCTTTCATGTCCCAGATCATCAGTTTGAGGGACCTTGCTCAGAGTAACAGAGGCCCAGTAACTCTTGTGTTTGGTAAGTGACTACCGGTATTTATGTTAGAATATTTTCTCCTTGTTGTTCTGATGTGCAAGTAAGCTCTGTCATCTACTGCTAGTAGAGGTGTGCTTGGCTACTGTTATATGCACTATTTATTGTGCTACCACACATAGAAAGGGCTTTTTACTGTACCGCATCAGTGTAAAGGTCAATCAGCACCTAGGACAGCACACTAGTGTGAACAGTAATAGCAGGAACAGGCATTGTAAGTGTGATGGTCAAACAGCACCAAGGACAGCATAAATAGTGTGAACAGGACAGTAAGGACAGGCATTGTAAACATAAAGGCCAATTAGAACCAAGAACAGCACAATAGTGTGAACAGTAACAGCAGGAACATGTATTGTAAGTGTGAAGGTCAATCAGCACCAAGGACAGCACTCTAGTGTGAACAGTAACAATAGGGACAAGGGTAAAAAAAGGTAAAAATAGTACTAAGGACAGCACCAACAGTGAACAGTAACTGTAGGAACAAGCACTGTAAGTCTTAAGGCCAATCAGCACCAAGGACAGCACCAATAGTGTGAACAGTGTTACAGCAAACTGTGCTTTTGTGTGAATGTCATTATGAAGAAGACTGCTGTAACTTTTTATGGCACAGTAAAATTTGAGACAGCTGGAAAGGTTGATGTGTTTATGACTGGTCCATTGTTTGTGTTTTATACAGGATGTGCAGCAGGAGACAAAAGGGCCGAGGGCAGGCTTGATGATGATGGACTACCTCCCATTGGGTCCAAGCTGGAGTCAGGTGACCCATACTACAGGTAAGGCGACTTGATTTGCAAATGCAGTCAAACTTGCCCAAGCCACCACCTCTACAAGCTGGCCACCTGGCCATAGCCACTACTTTTTCTCGGTCAAGAACACAGTACCCATATAGGTTTGTATGATAAGAAAAAGCATCAAAAGTCTGCTGATAATAGTGTCTCAAAATCCAAGGCTCATGCTTCTTGTACATGTACATGTTTAATATACATGTATGTATCAGTCTGTATGAACTTTGAAATCTGCATCTCTATCTTGTCTTGTTGCCTTGCCTTTTTTTTTTTGTCTAAGAAGCCTCAGCGTTGTGAGTGGTCATCTTAGACAAGTTTGCCTGTAACAAGTTACCTGTTTCCAGTATTTTGATACCAGTATTTTGTAATATCTCTGGAATTCCTTCACAAACATGCCTGTCCTTTGTACCCAGCTATGTGGATAAGCAGACAGGCGAGGCCAGAGTGGTTTTCTACAAGAACCAGGAGAAGGCCATAGTGGACAACATCAAGGTCCTGGGCAATGACCAGGGAACGTCAGACCTAAACAAGGTTGCCATAGTCATGAGGATCAATGTAAGAACAACAGTTTCTGTTTCTTTCGTTATCGAGTTCAAGCTTGCGTGAATAGTTTCATCAGGTTGGTAATTCACTGAGTAAAGAGGCTGTTTTTACACAACCAAGTCTTTTATTCAGCCGACGTTTCGGTGACCGTCTGTCACCTTCCTCAGGGCAGTTCTGACTGGTTCACATTGCACTGCAGCACAGGTGCCGCTGCTATAGATGTATCCATATTGTACGTTTTGGAATGCATCTATAGCAGCGACACCTGTGCTGCAGTGCTATGTAAACCAGTCAGAATTGCGCTGATGAAGGTGACAGACGGTCACCGAAACGTCAGCTGAATAAAAGACTTGGTAGTGTAAAAAGAGTCTCTTTACTCAGAGTTCAAGCTTTGTTCCAACACAAAAGGTAAACTCACCATAAGTTTTCATTTTAATCTTTGTGTTGGAACAAAGCTTGAACTCTATAACTATGGATTCTACCAAAACAGATGAGTTTCTGTATCTGTATAGCTGGTATAACTGCCCTAGCTATATTACACAGAACGACCTGTTATACCCAATCTTATCTAACCTTCACCAACATATCTTATCTCTTTTGTTCAGAGAAATCCCATCATTGGTGACAAGTTCTCCAGTCGACATGGACAGAAGGGTGTGTGCAGTCAGCAGTGGCCGGTGGAGGACATGCCGTTCACAGAGGGGGGGCTGACTCCTGATATCATCTTCAACCCTCACGGCTTTCCTTCCAGAATGACAATAGGTATGGAGAGGTGTTTGTGTGTGTGTGCATGCGTTCGCCCACGTGCGTGTTCGATTGTGTGCATATACAAATGTATGTGTTCACAGAGGGGGGACTGACTCCTGATATCATCTTCAACCCACATGGCTTTCCTTCCAGAATGACAATAGGTGTGTGTGTGTGTGCGAGCGTGCGTGTGTGTATATGTTCACAGAGGGAGGGCTGACACCTGATATTACACATGTATCTTGAACCCTCATGGCTTTCCTTCCAGAATGACAATTGGTATGGAAAGGTGTGCATGTGTGTGTTTGCTTGTGTCTGTGCTTATATGTATATATCTTGAAGTGTGGCTTATATAGCAGAAGATGAAGATTGCATGTGTTGTACCCTGTACATTTCTCGTGCGATAAAGTTTCCTAGTGTGTATATGGTGTGTGTGAGTTAGAATGAGGGACTATGTAAGTGGATGCGTAAGAGAAGGTAGATAGAGGGAGAGAATTTCATCCATCCATTTATCATTTAAGAGAATTCCATCCATAAAACTTGTCACCAGTTAGCATTTCATACTGTTTCTTCATGTCACATTGTTACTTTAAAGTGAATTCTTTACTATAAAGCTGATACTTGGAAAAACGACTGGCTTAAGTTTAGTTCATAAAAAAGTATTATCCCGTACATCATGGATAGAACATATCCCGTCCCCTGTTCTGTGCAGGAATGATGATCGAGTCGATGGCAGGAAAGTCGGCGGCGCAGCACGGCCTGTGTCACGACGCCACTCCCTTCACCTTCTCTGAGGACAACTCAGCCATAGATTACTACGGCCGCATGCTGGTGGAAGGTACTGTAGACAGTACATTTTCTGGGGATGGGGTGGGTGGGGTGGGGGGTAAGTGATAAACAGTCAAACCTGCCAAGGTGACCACCTCTTCAAGGTGGCCACCTGTCCGTGGTGACCGCTTTTCTCGGTCCCAAAAATTTTTCCCATTGACAGAAGCATTAAGCAACCTGTCCAAGGTGACCACCTTGCCAACGCGGCCACGACCGCCCTGAGTTGGGTCCACTCAAGGCCCGATACCTGCCCATGGTGACCACATCATTTTCGATCATGTTGATTATTGATGATTAGCATGGAGAAACCAGCCAGTTTGCCATGACTGCTGGATTATGTTTTTGTACGATGTAAATTGTTCCATTAACCACCCTCCCCACATTCATTCACCCCAGAACTGAAGATGCTTACTGTGTTTGACATGAAAAAATCTCCACTTGGAAACCATTTACATGTATGTCTTAGTCATGTTGTGAGGCGACCCTCTTCAAGGAGACCACCTGTCCCTGGGTGGCCGGCTTGGACAAGTTTGACTGTATTTAGTCTTGACTTACCATAAAGTGGAGGGGAAAACAGAACAGGTTTATCTTCCCCAAATTCCAGAAATCTTGTCTAATGGGTACAATGTTAAACTTTCTTTTTAAGTCTAAGATAAACGAACATCTGTCTTTACAGTCCATTACGGTAACCCAGAACATGTGAGTGGCTCTTATGAGTCTTGTTTTGTGGTGACAATTGGAGTCAATAAAAACATTTTGTGTGTCTACAGCTGGATATAACTACTACGGCCATGAGAGGATGTACAGTGGGGTGACAGGACAGGAGTTTGAGGCTGATATCTTCATCGGAGTGGTGTACTACCAGAGACTCAGGCACATGGTGGCTGACAAGTTCCAGGTATAGTACATAACCATATGACCACACCAACATTATCTGTTAGGATGAAAAAAGAGGTATAGGCAACAGCAAAAATAAAGACGGGAGAATAACATTAGAGAATGGACAGGCATGACTCGAAGTGAAATGTTTAGAGGAACGGACAACCGAGAAGGGTGGAGAGAATTAGTTGTCAGATCATCTATGGTGCCCCAACAGTCGAACGATTTTGACTATAGTCCAGCAATAAATTACAGGAAATAGTGTTTCAGGGGGTCAAGATTTAAAAATTTTTTCTTCAGCACTTGACATGGTATGTCAAACAAAATCGAGATAACGGAAAAAAATTCAGGCAGGCAAAACACTCTCTTAGTCATATCTGTACACGTCTGGATACCAGTACTATATTCCAGAACAGGTGTTAAATGTCAGGTGTTCATAACTGTTTAACTTTCTCTCTAGTGGCGTCTGTGTGGTGTAGTGGATAGAGCATCCGACTGTCAAGCAGGGAGACCCAGGTTCAATCCCCAGGGTTGGACCCAGACATGTCCTGACATGCACCCAGACGTTGTGTCCTTGGGAAAGGCACTTTACACGTATTTCCCCCCTCAGTTAGAGGGATCCTGGGCCCTACTAGGGTTTGGGTTGGCGTTAGGAAGGGCATCCAGCTGTAAAAATCCTGCTCCAAAAAAAGACTTGATGTAAGCATGTCTAACCCCAGTTTTGGGGCAAAATGACATTAAAATTGGATTAACATTAAAAAAAACTGTCCTGCACAGGTGAGAACTACAGGTCCCATTGACATCGTGACCCACCAGCCAATCAAAGGCAGGAAGCGAGCCGGCGGGATCCGGTTTGGAGAGATGGAGCGAGACTCGCTCCTGGCTCACGGGACGACCTTCCTCCTACAGGACAGACTCTTCAACTGCTCCGACAAGTCAACGGTACGTGTGCTTTCTGTAGATAAACGATGGTGAAAAATGTTGGGTTTTATATTTGACCTTGACTCTTCACTTTCAACAAGAAGGGTATGTTTTCAGTTTTGCCATGGTGGAGTGACTGTGGTGTGGGTCTGTATGTATGTCAACAGCATAACTCAAGAAGCTGTGGATGGATCCTAATGATATTTTGTAGGTGAGTAGAGGTTGTGAAATGGAATGTCAAGATCGAAAATGGTTCACATGACGTTTTTCTACGGTACTGCAGCAGGCTTTGTATGTATGCACAACTCTAACTTGAGAAGCTGTGGATTGATTTTAAATTTTGTGTAGCAGTTGGGAAGGCCGCAAAAAGCCAAAATAATTCAGAAGTCTGAAAACTTTGATTTCTTGATGTAGTTATTAGTTCTTTCATCCTAATCTGGAATACCATGTGATGGTTTACTGTTGTGTTGTGTCCCACAGTGTCGAGTGTGTACCCAGTGTGGCAGTATCCTGTCCCCCCTGCTGGATAAACCGCCCAGTGAGCTGGCAGCCGTGTCTGTCCAGGCACGCAGGTGTTGGTACTGCAGTGTCTGCCAGAATTCAGACTTCATACAGGTAAACACACAACCTGTCTTCTAGCCAGCCTAAAACGTTTTTCCCCTCATCTCAATTTTGTTAACCGGTGCAATAGCTCAATTGGTAGAGTGCTCGCTTTGTAACCGGGAGGTCGTGAGTTCAAACCCTGGGTCATACCAAAGACGTTAAAAATGGTACACACTTCTTTCTCTGCTTAGCACTCAGCACATATGAGAAAAAGTGTGGGAAGGTCAAACACACAGCACCACCAGCGGACTAGCCCCCTGCTGTAGTGCCTTGCACAACTGTGTGTGGCCCATGGGCTACGAAATGGAGATGGGCACCACCCTACGCTCGGCATAAGAGCACGGGAGACCTTCTTCTTCTTCTTCCTTCTTCAATTTTGTTTGATGTAAGATCACATCAGCCTCCGAAGGCACTAGCCTGGCAATCCTAGATCCCCCAGAAAAGTTTTAAATCTTGATCCTCAGAAAAACCATTTCTTACATTTTGAGGGGCAAATTTTGCTAGTAAACTAAGCTTAGATTTCTTTTATCCATAAGTAACGTGAGGATCTAAGGTCTAAGGTGAGCATAAAGGGAACATCCCTTTTCAATACATAACCAAAAACACAAATGACATGATATTTTTAAATCTTGAGTATTTCCTGCATTTTGAGGGGCAAATTTTGCTGGTAGACTAAGCTTAGTTTAATAACATGTTGATTATTGTCTGTCAAAGATGGATAAGGCAAACGTTTTGTACATTACATTGTCTTAAGTCTGTGTTCTCTCTCCCACCACAGCTGATCTCCGTTCCTTACGTCTTCCGCTACCTGGTGGCGGAACTCGCAGCCATGAACATCAAGGTTACCATGGAAACCAAGTAACCAATGGCAGAACGTCTTAGTTACCATAGAAACTAAATAACCATTGATAAACATAGTCACAGCTTGTAGATAGGTACAAATAACATGGAAAGTAAAACAGCTCCACCTGTCATGTGTCTCATGTACTGCATTATCTATATTTCTAAGAGATAATGTATATTCAGCCTGTAAGGGATCGACTTTGAATTGATACTATTTTACTAAACTGTACAGACTGTAATAGATTGAACTATTGTTAACAGTCATAAGCTGATGCAATACAGATATTACTTGTACAAATCAGGCACGGAAGTGATGTTGATATGAAAGTTTTTTAAGCTTAGTTAAAGCTTAAAGTTCTAGTGTGCCATGAATTTCCAGCTTCACCTATCTGTTAGCCTAAGGTGTCAGAATGAAAGTGTGATGCAATACTTTTATAAATTAAAGCTAACTTAACTTCTAGAATAGTGTTGAGTGACTTGAGTCTTTGACCAGTTGGGAACCATTTTTGGATGATCTCTGCAAAACATGGTGGCTGCAGTACTTCTATTCTTCACTGGGTGGTGCTTTTGGAGCACCATGTCAGAAACATACATGTACAACTGCCTTCACACTAGGGCTGCGGACCGGTACATTGTACCGGTCCAATACCGTAAAAATCGTTTCGGTACAGGTCCAAAATACCGGATCATGAAGTAACGAGTATATACCGAAATAGCTAGTTTACACCATGTATATGACTAAAGATAGGTAAATCCTACACAAAGACGAAAAATTAGCACTGGAAAAGACGTAAACACCGTCGATTGATTTGAGATCCTCAGTCTCACGAGACATCGCTAGAGTGTGGCTGATCCGGGGTTGTGATAAAGATACTGACAAGGTTGTCAACACTTTATTATTGTTTCTGTGTCATGATTGAAAAAGTGAAGAACACGTGTTAATTTTTCAAATTGTTCAGGTACAGGTACAGGTCCGGACCTGTACCTAAACCTCTGTACCGGTACCTGTACCTGTACCTGATGTTACGTTTAGGTACGCAGCCCTACTTCACACAAACAACTTTACAGTCACTTGAAGCAGTACTCTTGTGAGGTGTGTAAACAATTAAAAGAGAATCTAAAAATTCTAATGGCAGTTTTGAAACTGTGCCAGGTAGTGGACAAAAATTGCACTACTTTGCTGTATGCTATCCCTATACTTATTTTTTATGGAAACTGTTAGAATTAAACCAAACTACACATGGCAGTGAACAATTTATCAACACTGAAGTGATATTAAATTTTTTGAGACATCATATTTCCAGGTTACCTGAGGAATTGCATTCATTCTGTCATTTCCTTAGGGTTCTGGTTTTAAGACAGAAATTTCAGACAGACGACAAGTTCGATTTCATCGATGTAACGTTACAATAATATTGAAGGTTTTATTAAACACTAAGGAATAAGAACAATACATTGGAGACTGTAAGGGTGCCTGAGAGAAATGACAAAAATCTAATTGAATGGATTTTAGAATAATTTTGTCCGGAGATGTCTTCAATGCAAATATGGTACCTGCATAATACAGAATCTCATAACTTTGTGGCTAAATTTTTCAAGACCAACGTTAACTTATAAAAAAACTCGTATTGTGCATTTATAAGCATTTTTTTGGTTGATAATAGCTACAAATTGAAAGATGTGAATACTTTTGTCAGGAGCTAGGTTTTGGTTCTGACAATAAGTTATTAAAAGTTTACATGAGTTACATTTTGCCTACATAAAATACATTGTATATGGAAAGAACTATGCTACAAAGGTTTCATTCTTCAAGGTCTCTCTCTAGTCTTGTGTGATTTACCTATTTCTTGCACAGCAGACAATTATTAACAGAGGGCCAATTAACAATTTGCTTTCAAAGCTGATGACAAAGATTTTCCCCTCCTTTTAGGAGGAGCCTTACGTATAACCACCCTGCAGTTATTAAAAGGCACTTGGTGCAATTTCTTTGATTCCTGCATATAATGTACAGTTAACTCCTGTTCGTTCTGTTGTTATTAACTCTGACATTTGGCACTGTGAGCATTACTTCACTCAGGAAAGTTTGTCTAAATTCAATCCCAGCCATTCCAAAGCAATTTGTTCTGAGACACTCGGGCTCCAAACTTAACGGCTCTTTTAAACAAACACAAGTTGATACAGTAACTTTGCACTGCTGTGGATAATTGTGTTTAGGTGACGATGGCCATCATTTCATGCAGTTTTGGGGGTTTGTTAGATCTTTGCTTTAGGCCACACCAATTTAATTTGTTGGTTCTCGGATTCGCCTCTTCATTTTTTTCTGATTTGCAAAAAAAAAAAAAATTTGATTCTGGTCCTGAATCAACTGAAAAATGCTCATGTTTTGCCCCCCAACAGTTGAGGAAAGTCCTTTTCATCCTAGTTGTTACAGTTTTCCCATCTATCATTGCAGTGGTTTGATTAAAAGTTCAAAATTCAATGTTTAAATTTTAACCCAGCCTTTTGTGTTGACTTCATGGCTCATTTTGTAGCATTTAAGCCTATAATAGGATGCCTAGACCTGTTTTTATTTTTATTTTTTTTCGCCCTGTCGCTTCATATTTTTTCTGAAAAAATCCGAGAACCAACAAATTAAATTGGTGTGGCCTTAGAACAAATAAATAATGCATCTAAACCTGAAATAAAGTGCACCTTTATACTGCATTAGTAAAGTTTTCAGTAAAATATGGACGACATAAAATGTTCTCTACACTCAGTCACAGTTTCAGGTTTACTTAGATCTTTAATAATAGAACAATGAATAATTCGTCTGTCACACCTGGAGGAAAGTTTGCCTTTACAGTTAATGTTATACTGCATTAAAAGCAGACCTAAAAGTTTTCAGTGACATATCAAAGACATATAACTCCTTTGCACTTCTCGTACTGACGTTATAAATAATGTTTTCTTGCACTATAAATACCTCTCCTCACCATTATGTCCTAAAATGCACCACCTTTCCTAGTACTCTGAATATCCTTCCCTCTCCACCGCAGTCGATAATGATAACATTGACCTTGAGCTCGACCCCTAAGGTCATCTTCAGTGCTTGGGTCACCTGGCACGTCTGCTGACTTTTCCCATTTTGTGGTTCCCTTGTTCTGTCAACCCTCTTTTCTCTCCACAGATCAAAATCTCCCCCATCACCTAATCTCGCCCGACCTCCATGACCTCTACATCTTTCCCTCGAATCCTGCAGCGTGACGTTCGGGATTCCGCGGCTAACATTCCATCCCGGCCGTCCAATGGGACTTTCCGACGCAGAAGTGATGCAGTGACCTGTTGGAACTTTTCGCTAACGTTTTGATACCGTGTGAATGATTTCTGACAGGTGGAATCCAGGTTATGGCAGACTCATTTTATGGGCTCCGGGAAATCTTCACTCTGGGCAAAAAGGGAATCAAAATGGCTCATGTCTTGGCCGTGACATTTGTGGTTGGACTCATTTATCGAACCTCAACTCTCCGTAAATCTGTAAACTACACAGCTATTCAGAAGGTTTATCCCCTACTAAGGGCTGTTTCATTTTCAAAGCTAGTGGAGGGACAGAATAATGTTAACAACATTGTATATTCTGAAAATGTACATAAAGGACTGGTGCTACATGTATATCATTCTTGTTCACATTAGGCTGTGCACTTATGTGTTCTTTTCAGTTAATCTTCAATTTCAAATTAAAAACTTCAGTTTCATTATTCAATAATTTGAGATTAATGGTAAATGAAAAATTACCTTAATTGTAAGTTATGACATCAGTTCTAAACCAGTATGTCAGTTTGTAGAGTAGACGAGTAATAAAATTTTAGCCTTACCTTTTCTTCCAACATTTCAATATCAAAGATAATAAGCAAGCATATGTGCCATTGTAGTCATTTAGTATTCATCAAAACAGGCAAAGTATGGGGAAGATGGTAACTGTTAATCTCCAAGCAGATTCTGTGGGGTCTGATTTGGCCACCTGTATCCAATGGTTACAGGAGGCCAATTGATACAGGTGGCCAATATACAGTCAACTCCCCTTTCCCCACAGAATCTGCTTGGAGATTAGGAAAATGCTACCAAGACAAGAGGATGAAGAACACCAGTGAAAATGAGTTTTTAGTTATTTTCTACCCTGTAGTTAATTTTGTCAAATTCCACTTTGTTGTTAAACGTTGAAATTCCACAAGTTTGAATGCTTCGTTAGCTATATGCAGTCTCGTCTGCCTAACGTCCACTTTCAATGCCAGTTAAGCCTTCGGTAATCGTCCAATCCAGCGCAGGGCACCACTTGTTACGCCGTCCATCTGTCTTCTGTCTGATGTAAGAGATCGGCTATTGAGTCCGGCAGTTATAGATCTTAAAAGTGATGGTCCAAAGACCAACTTCTGGCACGGATGTATGTGATAGTCTCTTGGAATGGCCAGCCCAAAGTTGATTAACATTCTATAGTTGCCCTAACTATTCCGAACAGACAGTCTGCGGGTACCTTAATGATGCGACAGTTTGGATCAAAGCCATATCATCAGGATATTTTTTGGCAACCAGACTGAGAAGGCACTGTCTGACTCAGAGGTTCAAAAGACTGCGACTCAAGCTTTTAGTGGAAAGACGGCTGGCATCTATGTTAATTACACTTGACAAGAGTATTAAAACAGACTCCTCGCTAGACCGTACTTAATTAAAACTTTCTGATCAAGAGTTTTATACTGAATGTCTCGGAATTTCCCTCACTTGCAAAACAAGAAGGGCCTGCATGGGGGGTCCCAACAACGCTCTACACTAAATTTTGAGAGCCGGCTATGTATTGCGCTGAATTCAAGACGCCTGCCCATTACGTTTTACGATAAATTCCGGGTAGCTACAACGCTTTACGTGGAATTAAAACGACGAATTACGCTCTACACAAAATACGCCAATTACTACTCTCCAAGCAGAGGTTGTGGGGGAATGATCGTTACCTTTAAATGGCTAATGGATACTGCCTGGCCAATTTGATACAGTAACTGTCTTTTTGCCACCGAAAGGGATCTGCTTGGAAACTAGACAATTACGCTCTACGTTGAATTAGAGCGGTCCATCTACGTTCTACATAGAATTAAAATGACCGATTACGCTCTACGGAAAAGGGCATGTGGGCCTCCAACAAGAGGATGGTGACTTTCCCATGAACTTGGTAAGACGTGCTTCCGAGCAGAAGTAATGGCGTTAGCGTGCATGGCTGGAGCCTCTGTGTTTCTCCACCCAGCAGGAGAAATTAGATTACTCTTACCTGACTGATCAGAGTCTGAGAAAAAAACAACCACTCTGGAAGGAAATTACAGTTATTGAGTTTTAAGTGTTAGAGTGGTAGCAACTATAAAGTAGTTAGGGACCAGTTGTTAAGGCTTACCCTAACTACCCCTATTAAAAGATTGTTTCTTAAGTCTGTTTCTGTAGGCAACACATTTTTCTGTAAGAAATCTTATGCAGAGCTGTTGCCGTAGTTACAAGAAAACAGGGAAAGACCATTAGTGATGGAGGGGGGAGGATGCGGTAATTTTTTACCTCCCAAAATGTCATCCCAGTGAATATCTTTCAACTTCTTTGCAGCTGCATGAGATAAGTAATTTTCTTCTATCGATGTTTTAACAAACAGTGCTCCCAATAAAGTTAACGCTCATGTTCTGTCCCTAAAGTGCACCGTTTAGTAGACAGTCAGAGGTGGAATTTCAATGAAGTAAAGAATGGAGAGTTGAATATCAAGCTGGTTCAGTTTTAACCTATATATGACTGAAGCCTTTATGCTTGAATTTAGGCAGCATCCTTCATTGTACAACTTAAGAGCTGGTTTGTAGCCGAGAGGCTTGGGAAGGGTAGAAGTGATTTCAGGGTTGGGTGACATCCATCTTCTTGTCTAAAGTTCTGCTGGAAACTATTTAAATTGCTGAAACCAACTGCGCCGTAGGGCTGCCTAGAGGAACTTCAGTGAACTTATACAGGATTTCTTTGGGTAACGGTCCAGACAAAGTTGGTCTAGCTCATTATCCAACGACCTCCAAGGAGCTCATAATCTCCTTGGTTCAAGGAGCTTATAACCTCCTTGGTTTATCCATTAACTTTGATATTTCAGCTGGGAAGACTCTTAGATTTGTCCTCTCCGCACCAAAGAGAGTGGGCAGCTGAAATAGGTTCAGTAACTGAGCCATCTGGCTCCAGCTTTCCCTTAAGGGATGTAATGATTCATTTCCCGAGAAAACATTGGGATGGAATATTGTCAAGTTTTTATGACATATTTTAGAGTATGGAGGAATTGTTTTGAGTGTGTTTGTGTGCGTTCACTTCTATTCGTAGGTATAAATGTATTGGAATGCACTCAAGAGGGGGAAGGAATGGGGTGATTACTGAAGATTGACGTGAAGGTCAAGTTGGAAGGAAGAGATGGCTGGCCAGCTGGGAGGAAGTGGAGTGATGGGTAAAGCACAGTAAGTTAGATACTTACCAGTAATCTTTGGACAAAAATTTATAAGAAAATGCAATGCAAAAGTTCTAGTGTAAAGGGAAAGGAAATTTGTTAACAAGAATGGAATGAAGAAGAAAATGGCAGTTTGAAATTCTTTGTAAGGACTCCTCAGAAAAGTAGGAATTACAACATGTAACTTCTTGACCAAAATACTGAGCCGGCGTGAGAGATCTATATTGAGTATGTGAACCATAAGAAAGGTCTGAACACATCCTACATAATCCACTTTTTCTCTATCATACAGAGATCAAAGTACAACATATTGCAACATCCCTACGGGCTGACTTCATACTTGACATTGACTGCCAGGTAACATATTGGCCCATCCTTCCTCTTCTTGTAGCCGACCGCCTTTGACCTCCACCAACATCATTAACCACTTTGTAATCCATCTTGGTCATCTCGGGGAAAGAACACAAATTACACTTGAACAGAATTATCGCAGAGAATCCGCTTTGCGTACAAAATGTATATCCTGGGGTTACCGCTTTCTGTACTGAGATTTCAGCCGTAGATCCTCCATGGAAATGGGATTACGGGGGCTTTAGATTCCTCCAGAGAGGCTGGCTTTTGGGATAAGAGGCTTTTAGTTGCATGGGATGCTGAGGAAACATCCCATCCATTAGCCATACTGTTTTACAGTAAGGTTATGTGACAGCTGAAACAAACGGTCTGTTCTCATCACTTTCGGTCAGTTTGTAGCTGTCTGCTGTCGTGCTACGGTTTACTTCAAGAATGTTAATCATAGCAATGAGGACAAATGTCTGCCAAGGCAACATAGCATCTGCCATAGCTAGTAATCTGCACTTTGAAAAGAAGCTGCTAGGGGGCTTGCATTATCATATACATCCGTCGGGTAAAAAATTCCCTATCTTCATGTTTCCCAAAACTTGTAACTTCCAAGTTGCCTATATAAAACTCATTCAAAAACATTGATCAATATCTATCTAGTTGTCCTGTCTTTTTTAACCAACTAACCTATGAACTACCCAACAAAGTACATTCTGTAATAGAGAAACCAGTGTAGGCAAAAAGCCCACATTAGTGTATGTTGAAATTTAGACTGCATACAAACTAACTGCCAAAAGCTAGCAGTACTTGGCCCCTTCTGGATAAGGATGATTTTAGGCTTCTCAGTTATTCCTCTGGTAAGCCAATTGACTTGAGTAGGCTCCATGGTTAATAGGGCAAATAATGAGAGATGGCAGTGATCTAGCACTATTGACTGTTACCAAGCAAGGAGAAACATCGGAAACGGTTGTTGACGGATAGATATTCACATCTGTTGTGACAAGCTAGCTATCTCTGTGCCAGTTAGATCTGTCATACTCACATGATAATTCAATCCATCATAGCCTAGTACCTATTGGATTAGAGTTTGGTTTTCATATATGCAAATATGTGAGACTTTTTTCAGGTGTGAGATGTTTTTATTGAGATATGCAGCTCAGTAGAAGAGAGGATGCCAAGTCATTGGACTGTCTGCAAGTTTCCTATGGAGGTAAGTAAAGTTTGGATAGAAGGGTAAATAAAAGCCCTTGACAACAGCATTGCATCATAAGTGTTATTTAAAATGCCCTGTCATCCCAACTGCTGTGGCCAATGCTTCCTATTAACCCCACAAATTTGGGTTTTACGCTGTCAAGAATTGGTCAGCCCCTTGCTTTGCTCCAGTACAAGATAACTCAAATAGTTATGAATGAATTCTCATCAGTTTCTGCCCTCCCACCTTGACCATAAGAGGACATTGAGCAAAGATATCCAGGCCTGCACCCAGAAATTTTCTAGTTCTTAAGAATTTGTCACCATTTCCAGAAAAGGCGAAGTCCAATCTTATGCTCAATTGGTCTCTGCTCTCTGAGTGCTCCCCTGTTTTAGGGTATAAATTGTTACAGCGCTAAGTAAACCAGGGTCATGTTGAAGGTCAGGTGGGGAATGTCCTTGCTGTCGGCTCAATGATAACATGTTAGGGAGTGGCTCTGTCTCCTGGTGCTAAGTCATCAGCAGGGCAAATGTCATTACCCGTATCTCAAACATGGCTGAGTTCTCTGGCTCATGACGTCATGTGGTGGGAAAAAATCAACAAACTCTATTTCATGCAGTATTTATTTAGGCCACAGCAATGTATTTGTTGGTTCTTTGATTTGTAAGAAAAAAATATGAAGTGACAGAGAAAAAACAGGACTAGGCATCCTATGATAGCCTTGAATGCTATGATAGGAACCATGAAGTCAGCACACAGGGTTGGTTTGTGATTTACACAATGAATTTTGAACTCTAAATCAAATCAAATCACTGCATTGATAGTTGGAATAACTGTAACATCTATAGGAAGAAAAGGGCTTTCCTCATCTCACTCAACTTCCTCAACTGCTGGGGGCAAAATACATTGTATGAGCATTTTGAAGTTGATTCATAACTAAATATTTCTTATTTTTCTTTGCAAATCAGATGAGCAATCTAATTACAACATAGAAACAAGCCACTGGTAAGAGAGTTCCCAAAGTTTATTTACATCTGGAATCAGAACACAACCTGCACCAAAGCAACAAAGCATTGAATAATAATATTATATTACAGTAGATTCCTCACCATCTTATATGACTCTCTGGGTGTCATACAACAAATGATCTAAGCCGTTTTCTCTGTCACTTTAACCTGTACAAACTATAATGGCTTTCAAAATACCAAGTTTATAATCATACGTACAGCAAGAGAAGACAAAGCAAGAAAATGATGTGCTATTTTGGCTGTTAACAAAATCATTTGTTTCTGAGAGAGACTGACAGGAATTGCTTTATGTCAAATCATCCTAGAAATGTATTGATGCCTGTTGGATGTTTTGATAGTGTGTTCTGTCAAACCTAAACCTATGTAGGAATATAGGATGTCAGAACGTATAACTCTCTTTACCCTTGCAAGGAACACACTGGGGCAGAAATAGGTTAACTCTGTGAAACCTTGTGTCCAAGAAGAAATAAATAAAAGGGCAAGCGAGCTTTGATAGCCTGTGGAAGAATCTATAAATATCCCCAGAGTGAACTTCCGTTGTGTGTTCTGGTATAAATATTTGTCAAAATCTATAAATACCAGTGAGAGTTTCAAACATATGTAAGAAAAGCTTTTTTCTCCTTCTACCCAATGTGTTCTTGATATCATGTGTGCAGTTTTATTCCTTAAGAAGAAGAAAACATATTATAAGCAATACTGGTCCTATCAAGACCTCTATGTTGTTTTTTTTAAAGGAAAGCACCTTTGCACAACTCCCCTTCCTTATTCTTGGAGCACATAATCAAGTCAGCAAAAAACACCTCTCACTATGGTACATATGGCAGATGACTCTCCTGATAAATTGTCTGATAATAAGCTGACACATTTTCTTTTCAAGTTTAACAAAATCTAGACCTGTTGCCCCTCCCCCAAAAAATGTGGACGTGGCCTAACATCTAGGCAGTAAGTACAATATTGTGGGTCTCTCTCTACATTTGCTAATAGCAGCAGGAGCTATGTACACATGACACATCAGTTTTTCTTTGTACAATCAACATTCTCTAGGGTTAACAGATTTTGCTTTTAAATTATGCAGTCTTCCACCACTTCCTCAAGCGTTCTTGTCAGCAACTTTGCAGGAATGACTATATCTCTCTTTTTACACTATAAGACAGGTGTGTTCCTTCTCTTCTTGAGATTCAAGCATCGTACGTGGCATCTAAGCGCCGACTGTCCCTCAAATCACTGACTCTGCGTTCCTATAAGTAGTGAAACATAATCTCTATACAGTCTGTGTCCCAGCATCCTTTGCACGATCACATGACCACGCAGCTCTTTGTCCTGTCGCCGCGGAATTCCCTCAAGTCCCTCATGCGACTGTCCGAGCGGCTCTGCCTCATTTTTATGGACACGTGTCTCTTCGGCGTGCGCTGCCGCAGGGCCTTGGTGAGTTTGCCCAGCGCCGCGAGCGTCGCCATCTCAAACACGTCCCTGATGCTCAACTCCGACGTCTTTGCCGAACACTCCACGTACGCCACTGCTCCGATCTGCTTTGCCACCGTCATTCCCTGGGTAGAACACAAAAGAAAGATACATTAGGAATCTAGACACGCAAACTGTTTCACAGCAAACGAAAAGAATAGATGAGATGAGAGCCTTATGTCCCATTCTAACGTCCATTCAATAAATTTAGAGATAAAGGGGATAAGAAATACATTTAACCCTTGTCCTGCTGGCATTTTCAAATAATTTGATTTCTTAACCACGTCATAGACCCTTGCCTTCTTTGCCCTGTGGTGGCATAAGTACTACTACTAGTTACTTCTGCATTCATTGCATTTTGCTGCGGTGTGATGCCTTGCACGAGAAATACATGTAACATTACCTCCAAATTCTACATATACAGGGCGCTATGTAGATGGTACTGTATGTGCAACCCATATACTAGTACTGTATATATACAGTATATGGGCTCTGCAGGACAAGGGTTGAGACACACAAATAAGAGACTAGTCGCTTAGCTGTGTTCATATTTGGTGAGGCTAAATTTCCAATCTAATAGTATACCACAGAGGTTACTGTCGCATAAATGTGAAATACATGCCAGCAAAATGGAACAAGGATTTGTATTAGTGAGGTTTTCCTTCTATCAACCCAGAAAAAGGGTTTTCATAAAACCTTTCTGTCTAAAAATCAGTTTTAGCTGCTGATTCACCCACAGGTCAGACCACATCAGTAGGAAATCACTGCAATTTACTGTGAGCCACTCCTGGCTGGGACATGTATATAGAAAGTAATCATGATATGCAGCAATGCAATATAAATGCAAACACAGCAAACCAAGCCTGCAAAAGGATGGTCTTGTTTTTACTGTGCTGTGTAAGGTTTAACCTCCAGTGATATGATACACAGAAATTCTATTACAGTATACATGTTTTGCCCTTTTGAAAGGAAAACATCAAATGAAAAAGTTGAAAACAAATCCATCAATCCTATATAGTTTTGCAGCACTATAGAACCCAAAATATATGCTGTGTTAACAGTATTTTGACTGTCTCATTAATTATGCTGGTATAATAGAAGGAACATAACCGTTACATATTTTACAAATTCCAGGAGGACCAAAGGTTCCAAAGAAAGGTCACATTGGGTGAGTCTACATGACTCCAAGGGCCTTCTGAAATCTACCAAGACCAGCAGGTCCCTAACCAAGGGAGGGGCATGCACCAAACCTCCAGTCAATCTTCCAATCAGGTAGGCGTGATATATGACCTTGGGCCTAGCAGCGTGACCTTGACGGGCCAAGAGTGTTGCCTGAAGGAGCGTAATAAACTTGAGAAACACAAGCGAGAGTTATGGGGGTGGCTGGCAGGGTTATTGGGTGCTTCTTATTGACTATGGATCACAATTATTTGTCCTTATCCAGACCACAGGCTGTTCTTTTATTCATTCTTAGGGAATAATGAATAGGGAATTTGTGAATAAGCAAAATTCAGCTCCAACACTGTCTATGTGGACTGAATTGTTAACAGTTAAGGTACCAATAAGCAGCATCTTGGTTTAAAATGCCATGATAGGTATAAAGTACAGTTGGTTGCCTCATTTTGCAATATTTCAGTGAAAATTGCCTTCTGCAGGAAAGTTTTCAATAAAAGAACAAAACCATAAACTTTCCCACAAATTATTTAAAACACATCACATTTCAGGTAATGCCCAGTATCGTATTGCTAGAAATGTTATGTCTGGCCGTTATGTTACAGTTTTAAAGGTTAAAGCAGTAAAAAGGACTGTTAAACAGAGCTATAAACATTTTGGTCTCTTTTTACGATTATAGTTGGTAACATTTCTTGAGTTGAAAAAAAGTTTTGACAAAGCACCAGGAAACAGCTTCTATTATCACTGTATCACAGCCTTGTTTTACACCCTTAATTCACATCGATTCAGTCCTTTTCCGATAAATGACTAACACATAATTGGAAAATTGCTGAAATCCCCACTGACGCCAAATAATCAATTTCTAGGCTGCCCAGTTCTCTACTGATCCTTTAGCCAATATTCTTGACGTATGTTCCGAAAAACTCATTGCGTAAGTCTCAATCACAGATGTCATTTTCTACGCTATTACATAAAAACATTAAACAAAGTTCTGAGAGTGGCCCGACGGCCTTCGAAAAACAGATAAACCTGAAAATTGGATGATCGATCAACATGGAGTTTCTCATCAAAGTCCACTTTCCCTTGGGGCCTGCAAAACTTTTATTACATTGTACAGCACAGCTTCAGAAATATGACTTCCTTGAGGCGTGAGCTTGGCCATACTTCTGCAAAGCCTCCCTGCAGTCATGCTTTAATTTCTACTACGACTCTGTACCCGTACAAAGTCATTTATCTTAATCCTTAAAATACCATCTTGCAGTAACAGTCGAAGTTCCATCCCAATTTTTCTTCATTTTCCAATATAGCTGATTAAATCAGAAACAACCTAAAGGTGCTTCCTTTGAAGTGTAGAAGAATTGCAATAGATAATGATGTTTGGTGGACTGAATAAATGAGACACTATCCTACTGTCGTCCTTGAAATCTCCGTTGCTCATTACTTATAATCAATGTCTTTTGCTTAGCTACAGTTCAGCAACAAATTCTTTTGAAGTCGCTAAATGGAAGGTTCAGCCTGCCAAATTCCACACAATCAATATTTCACTGATGTACGCAGCTATCTGCATGGCAATTATCCAGAATTATTGGTGATTCTTGGCAATTTTGTTTTTACTACATGTATCAGTTGTTATACATATGTCCCATTATTATAGACATTGACTTCTTATCTTATCATGGTACAGCACTTTGTCCCTGCTTAATTGTCTCCAGTCTACAATTCTCCAGTCTACTTAAGAGGCTTAAGAAGAATATGACAAGAAAATAGCAATGTTAATCTTATATTAAATGTTGTTCAATCTATCATAAATCATTTATCATTATGAGGCATACTGGACCCAACATCTCTTCTATTTATACTGCTTGCTGAACTTTTAAGTATATGTGGGTGCGCAATATTGTACAAAATAATTGCTCTCTTAAACACTTATCCATTTTCTTATCCTACAAAACAAAATGATCCACATGGTCGTGAAAGGCTTTTCAATTTCTAACAGCCTTGGAGGAATGGGCCAACCCTGAAAATGACTGGTTCTAAATCTTATTCATATATCAGTTGCTAAATCCCGCGGGGCAGCCGCCGGTTTATTGCCTGAGACAATATGGCAGGCGAGATAGGGCTCTCCCTCGGTTCACTGATCCGGAGATACATCCCGCTTAGTACCAGCTGCCATTAACGGTGATATATCTGATCATAATCCAGCCATGGGAGCCGCTCTTCCAACAAAACTGCTGCACACGTAAGCTTGAGTGCAGACACCAATTTGCGATAATTGCGCCGTTGCCTGTTACGGGCAGGGATACAGCGGTACTAGAATCACATGCTCTTAGAACAAAATTGATCAAGAGCCGCTCCGTATGCGAATTGAAAACTGGAAAATAAGTCGGGCTTACGCAATAACGCAACCGTTTGATCCCGTCTTTGAAGAGTTGATATATATAAGACTGTATTACTGCTGCCCAATTGAGCAGACGTTATCAAAGTGAAACGTTATTGGGGACCGCTTGAATGTGAATCAAGCTCCAGATACAGGTATAATGTGGCTCTCAACTGCCGTTGAGTTTTCAAGATTAGAAGGCCAGATCGTTTCTTGCCAGCAGGGTACACATAACAGGAGACAATCAAAGTTGCAATACAATTTTGCTGACTTTTCTGGGCCATCGCCCACAGTTGTGATATGCTGTTATGAGTTCGGCCATTTTTGTTCTCATATATCTCTGGCTATTTCCAAAACCTATAACAGTTTTTCATATGGCAGAGTCGCAAATGGTTTCACGAATCCTGCAACGTTTTGATCCTGAGGGAGAAGGTCAAAATCTTCCCCATAATTCATATTATACAACTTTTCACTCAGGGGCCATCTCAAAAGGTCTGAAAATCTCAAACAATATTTACTGGCTTCAACACCGCCAATATTTTCATGAATTGACAAAAACTGGGGGTTTGGGGGGTCTAGGGTTTGGGAGCTTTTATGTGCTATTTTCTGATTGCATATAGACAACATAGCCGGTCTGGTTGAATTACGTGGGCTAATAATAATCAGAAAACAGCCGAAGACCACCAAATCCCCAGTTCTATAAGCCTGCTACAGAGGCTAATGTGTTGCAGGTATTGTTATCAAAGGTATGCTCTGTAAAGCGTGCTTGATAAACTACAAATTACTCCATTGGCAGTCAATCAACTTGCTTAATCAGTTGATTACAGGAGGCATATTTACACTCGTTGACATTGTGAACCATTAGAGGGATAAATCAATGGGTCTACTGTACAGTCTGTACAGTTGAGTAGCTGGGTTACATCCATCAATGCCATACACATGTACCTGCCTCCTTCTACCTCTGCTAGGCCTAGCGTTCATGGATGGAACCCAGGGTAACGTTCTTTCTTTCTTTTGGGGTGTTAAGGTAGCCAACATCAACTTGCTGATGATTCTGCTACACTGTAGAGTTGGGCTGTACAATTTGGACCATAAAAAACTGGGCCATGCTACTACTCTTTTCCAAAAGGTGTGGTGGCTTCTTTAACGTGTGTGGGGTGTGGCTCTCCCCAACACTTCTATTTGATGTCCTATCCGAGGGACGTCCCTAACCGACACTAGCATTTGAGGGTAACTAGGTACATGTACTACATGTATTAACGTTACTAATGGCCTAGCCCCATGCTGTAGTGCTTACACAACTGTGTGGCCCATGGGCTATAGAAACGGAGATAGTCACTGCCCTATACACTGAAAAACGAAGATACAGGTGGTTTCTGCTGACTGCATGATCGGGAACAAAATTTGATAACTGACTATAACTTATAATTTGTTACCACAAAAACTTACTTAGTACAAGTTTACACGTAGAAATTGGCCTTTCATGACCTAGAAACTGAAAATTTCTGGTATTTTTTAAAACATTCTTGCTTCTGAGCAAACAAACTAATAAAGAGACTTTTCTTCTAGTGACAGTGACTCCTATACAACTGGTTACAGGTAACGGGAGTTAGTAGTACTATCTAGTCTTTTGATTATCCTGTAGCCTGGTCCCTGACATGGGTGGACAGCAGTTGACTACTCTGTTTCCAAGCGACTCTGTCCAGCAGGTCACGGCCACTTTCTTAAATGTCCTCCTTGACATACTCAATGATTAGCGAGTAGAATACAAGTCTCTGAAGACAGTTTCCCAACAGTCTCACTAGCTCGTTTCGCACCATGTGATTCTCCTGTGTTTTGTATTGATAAATGGCCTGGTTTGACAAATGGGGAGCGTTAAGTGTTGTCATTTATACTGCTCCCGGGGGAGCGCAACCTTCTGTCTAAATGAACCTTCAGAATCGCTTTCCTGGGCGAGAAGTGGGCAATCCGGGCAGCCGCGGACGGTCGGGAGTTATCATCCTACCAGAGCGCCAGACTCGCCGACTCCAGCGGCCCATTACCGTCTTCCGGAGCCACGCCGCCATGTCAGGACGGTGACTACAAATGCGCCGTCACACTTTTATGGTGCACTAAAGTTAATTGAGGAGTGCTGGCTTATCATTACTCACGAATGGAAAAAAAATGATGGTTACCTCATATCCAGGGTATTATCTAAGCAGATGCTAGGAGGGCTGACTGTACCTGTTTCTCACTACATCATCATCACTACAACGTTGTTACTTTATGATATGTACCAATCTATAATCAGGATATACTGTCAATATTCACAATGGTTTTAATCTTTTTTTCTCAATTTTTCAGTGACATCTCTTTTAGGTACATTGTATTGCTACTCACTCACTTGATACAGTATTGCAGATTTATTTCTACCACGAAAATATCCTTTCAGAAAGTTTCCCCACAAAAGTCCCCACAAAATAGATGAATTTACAGTAACCTGATGGAATGCCTTCATGCTGCATTTAGGAAACCTTGCTCTGGTCCTTGGCACACCTTAAGGAACCATCTATCATCACTAATTATTTCACTCCATACTTTAGTATGGAGGGAAATACTGTTTTTACTGATGATTCTCCTCCTTCTTCTTCTCCTCCTGCCATTTCTTTAAATTGATTCAATTCCTTCATTTTTGGGCCAAACGACCTGGAATTTCTTATAAAGGTAGAGTGGTTAAATACCCCTAGGCGTTTTTTTATTTTTTTGATACAAGCTTTTACAATCGTTTTATTTGCGTTTTTAGCTGTTCCCATAGGAAAGTACTGTGGGGCGTACGCGCGTGACGTAATAAGAAAGGAATTCGGGGGCGGGCCCAAATATGGGCATATGCAAGCATGCAACAGGTGTGGCCATTTTTGTAAATCTGGCTGTTGATTGGCTGATGGCTAATTGATTTATTTTCTACCACCTACGCCTGGTAGGCACATTCTTATGTTTGTTTACAAGTTTGGCCAGCGAAAAGGAGTGTTGTAAAAGCGGTGGAAACGTGATCTAGCTACAGCTACAGGGCTATTTTCATCCAGCTAGCCAATTTCTCCCATGAAAAGACCCTGTGTTAATTATTTCACTCCATACTTTAGTATGGAGGGAAATACTGTTTTTACTGATGATTCTCCTCCTTCTTCTTC